TCCGCTCGACATGGAGTGAAATATTTATGTCACCACATGGCGGGCCGGGCGGGCCATGGCCAGGGGTGGGCAATCTGGTAATGGTGGGCGAAACTCGAAAATCACCGCTAGATTTGTGTGCCGGGGTCAGAGGGCCGCGCCGTGCCTTGCCGGACGGCTCGGCCGGGGCGGGGTCGTCCCGCGCAGCGCGCAGCGGGGTTGTTTCGGATGATAGTTGCCGTCGGCGCCACAGGCATGGCCTGGCCTGGCCACCCCCCACCAGGCTCGTCCAGCAAAGTGGCCACCGCCTAGTCCACGCGGCCACCCGCATCACCGCGCCGTTAAAGAAACTGCAGGGCGGTGGCCGCGCCCACACTGCAAACCCACCCTGCAAACCCTGCAGACGAGAGGGAAGGTGTCGAGGACGTATTAAGGGCAATGCTCGGGCCCTTGGCGAGCACGGCGACGCGGCGCGCACCGCGACCATCAAAAGGCGACGGCGGGGGCCATCACCACATGGCGGGGCTGGCAGCCCCTCAAGCGAGAGCATGGGCGCAGCCATCCAATCTGGTGGGAGAAACGGTCCGCCTTGGCGCCGCGGAGAGAAGGGAGGAAGCAGCCCCCAAAATTAAAAGTGCTCAAAAATTTAAAAAAAAAATTGCAAACAAAAATGGCAGTGTGGACTTGAAGAAATTGCCGGCAACTGAACCTCCTCCGCGGTGGGCTGCGGTGAGCTGCGGGGCACACACAAAAGATGCTGATGTCTTCGACTTCTGGAAGGTGTTTGTCGTCTCCTTGTTATCGGCGGCTTAGTCGAGATCTGTCACTCAAACGCCACGCGCGCGGCCCAGGGCCAAGTCGGATGGATAAGGTGGCCCGGCGTCCCGCCGTCAGGCCGTCAGGCCCTCCGAGCGCTTCGGCTCGGCTTCGGCTCGGCTTCGGCTTCCCGTCGCGCGGCCTTCGGCTTTATTCGGCTCCGTCCGATTCGCCGAGAGAGAGAAAGAGAGCCTCCGGGTGCCTCTTCCTTTTCTGGTTCGCAAACTCGACCCGGCCGAGCGGGCTAGGCCGGGCGGGCCTGCTACCGGCGGACCTGGCGGGCCTCTAAGTCTCATCCATCACACGTGTCCCTAAGCCTCCCCCCGTTCGGATCCAACACGCGAAGCGCGGAGCGGCAAGAGCCCTCCACCACCAAGAGGCCCGTCTCGCAGGCCAAACCGCACTGTGAGCTCATGGGGTGCAACCATCGCCTGGTGAAACCATCCCCCAGGTGTTGCCCTCACTCTAAATGTTGTACAGTAAAGATTCTCCATATTATGGTGAAAATGTTCTATACTATGGTGGTGCGGCTGACTTCGTAGCATACCATTCAGAATTCACTGTGCCTTATAGATATTTTGACGAATTTCGTTGGTATTATGGAGAAAATCTCCACCATATTATGTTGGTGCAGCCTTTCACCGTAAGACATTTACTGTGCTATTTCTGGTACGCTCCAGTTTCCCCGGCCTTCCCTCGTTTGCTCATCCGGACAGCCAATCATGCGTTCCAGGTTCCGGACGGAGTCCCGAGTCCAGAAGGTCCATAAAGAGGCGAGGATGGGCCGTGGCAATGACCCGTTCCACACACGCGGCGCTCTCTCTCTCTCTCTCTCTCTTTCTCGTTGATTCTTCGTTTCTCTCGCTCTCAGCCGTCAGGGCCCGCTGTGAGCCCTTCCGCACACAAAACGCACGACTGCCGGCCGGACAAATCACCGCAGCTCTCTCTCTCTCTCTCTCTCTCTCTCTGACCCACAGCGATCGAATCGTCAGAGTCCGGTATGTCACATTTTTACAGCTTTACTTCGAGTGGCTCCTCTACTAGCACCAGGTACACGGAAGCCCACGCCGTGAATTGAAATGTGAGGAAATGCCACTTTTCCCTCTGCGCCACGCCAACGAAAGAAACAACAACAACTAGATCGACAGCCAGGTTTGTCCAGCACGTTGCGGCAGCAACTCCAGGACTCCAGCAGGACGTGATGAAGTGCGCGCAAGCGGCCCAAGCCCTGGAGTGGCGCTCAAGTTGGCCTGAGCATGGGTTCGAATACCGCGACCTGCTTTTGCGCCCCCACCCCCTTTCCGCCTTTTCTGTTCCAGTGTGCCAGCCTTCTGTTCCAGCCTTTGCCGCCGTCTTTGGCGTTGTACTTGTGCAACTCGCGCAGCTCGCGCAGCGGCCGTACACGGAGCGAGGGAGTAACGTGGTCCGACAACACATCTGCAAACAACGCCTCAATCCGCCGTTCTTATGAGCCAGTCCGAAGACACACTGCTCTGACTGCCTTTAACTTTTCAGCCCCGGCGTCTCCCTTCTCTCTCTCTCTCTCTCTCTCTCTCTCTCTCTCTCTCTCTCTCTCTCTCTCTCTCTCTCTCTCTCCCTCCCTTTCTCTCTCTCGTTCAGATTTTCATTCAAAGTACGTCACGTGCATCTGCACAAAATCTGTCGTGTCTCGTGCAACGTGAAATTTCGTGCGAACTCGCGAGATATTGCGTTTACATCCTCTCTTTGCTGCGCTCGGCTCCGCACAGTGGGCCAGAAGACCGGTGGAGGTCTTCTGCGTTTTGAGGTCCCGCACTGCAATGCTAGTGGTAAGTTTACTTGCCACGAATTTGGCAATCCGTTTTGAATGCCAAAACTTGGCAAGCTTGGCCCGGAAATACTCCCCAACTTGCCAATATTTGGCAAGCTTATGAAGAGGGCCGACCAAAGCTTGCCAAATTTTGGCATTCAAAGCGGCTTGCCAAATTTGTGGCAAGCAAACTTACCACTGGCTTTGCAGTGCGAGTCGCTGAACAGGACTCGAAGTAAACGTGTGACCCCACCAATGGATTCCACGTCCGGAGAGCAATCCATTGGTCGGGTCACACGTTAGGTTCGAGTCCCATTTAGAGCTCGAAACGCGTTTAGAGTTTTGTCCGCCTCCACTGGTCTTCTGGCCCACTGTGCTCCGCTTGCCTCGGTGAATAATGTGTGTCCGGCTTGATCAACAGCGTCTTTGTGCGCGCGAGCACCTTATTAGATCGACGGACAAACAAAAAGGGGAGAGGGGGGAGGGAGGGAGAGGAGGAGGACAAAGAGCAAGTTGTTTAATGCAGAGAGACTGGAGAGCGCCTCTCTTAACTTCGTCGTGTTCTCAGAGCTATAATTCTGCCGGCACGCCGCGGGAGAGGCACGGCACCGGCTTTTGTGTTTGCCTGCAGTGTGGCGGCTGGCTGTGGCTGCCTGTGGCTGCCTGGCTGCTCACCATCCAGCCCTATCATGCACGTCAACTTTCAGCGGCTCCAGCCCGCCTCGCCTCAGCGGCACCGCCCAACGCGACGCCTCACAGTACAGGAGGATATAGACTGGAGCGCTAACGTCCTATGCTTCTCCACAGGCCAGCGCGCGACTGCTAAATTGCCCCCCATAAAACTGTACCTGCGCGATCCTCGAGTCTCGAGTAGTCTTCGGGTGTTTCCGACGTCATTCGGCGACACTTCGGGTGTGCTGGCGGGCTCCAGGTGGCACGAAGGCTGCCCCGCTACGCACCCCCCACCCCCGGAGATGCACCGAGACCAGCCGAAGAGGACCCGAAGACTACTCGAGCTTTCGGACGCGCTGGCCACGTCCGAAAACGGCGGCGCGCCCGTAATGGGCTCTTTAGCGCTCCAGTCTATATCCTCCTGTCCTCACAGTGGGCCAGGAGACCGGCGACGGCGGCCCAAACTCTAGGCGCGTTATGAGCTCCAGAGTCGCTAAATGGGAATCGAACCCAACGTGTGACCCCACCAATGGATTGCTCTCCGAACGAGGAATCCATTGGTGGGGTCACACGTTCGGTTCGATTCATATTTAGCGACTCTGGAGCTTAAAACGCGTCCGGGGTTTTGACCGCCTCTACCGGACTTCTGGCCCACTGTGCACCGCCCAACGCGACGCCCAAGGTGGTCTAACGTCCCCATAGCAACAGGGTCTACATCTAGCTGCGCTAGCTCTGCCTGATTACCCCGGGCTTGGGGCTCAGCGCGGTGGCGTCGGAGTGGTCCGTGGCGCCGCGCGGCCGCGCAGCCAGCGCTGGAAATGTTCCATGTTATGCCTTTGAGCCGGGCAGCGAGGCCCGCCGGTTTACCCGGCCAAACAACCAGACCACCGTTACGTTGGATTAAATTTACACTTCCTCGTAAAAAAAAGCGGAAAAAAAAGAGAATATGAAAATTGCAACGTTCGCGGGGTTTTGAACTTACGATCTGTGATTTCCGGGCCTGGCGCGCTTCCTATTGGGCTACGCAGGGAGAGCGAGGTGGCCGGCTGCATTTTAAAGCGGCGGCGTGACGAGACGCACGAGCCACTGGGAAAGTGGGGCAAAACGGTGAAATTGAAATTTCGGCCAAGGACAAGCGGTCGCCGGGAGGGGCTTATGCGGTGTACTGGGCCCCGGGGGCGCCCTCCCCTCTCCTCCCCTCCCCCTCCCCCCCTCCCCTCCCTCCCCGCTCGGCCCATAATTGGCCCGGCGGTCCCGAACTGCGTCGCGCAGGAAAAAGAAATTGAAACGGGGTGGCGGAGTGAGACAGACAGGGATGGGAGATGGGAGTGGCGCAGGCGAGTGACAGAGAACGATAGAGAGGTGCAGCGCTGGTGGAGCGCGACGAGGAGACGTTCCACGGCGTGGATCAGAGAGAGAGAGAGCGAGAAAGAGAAAGAGAGGGAGGCAGCAGGTCAAGTAAGTCGACATCCCAGACGGGTCATCCGCGTCCTTCTGCCTAGCTCTGCATGCATAAGCGAGCGCCCCTTCCCGGCCACCACACTGCCTGGGCTATTTAGCGACCAGGAGTTTTAACTCGGCCGAGTTGGCCGGGGCCTCGGCCGGGGCGGGACTCGCAAAGTCAGAGCCACTACTTATTCGCACTCACGCGCCCCAGTCCGCCTCGCCGCGCCTCGCCGGAGAGACAGAGCGAGGCCATCCGCAGGGAAACATGAAAAGAAAGAGAGGGAGGAATGCCACTCACCGTCTTGTTGCCCAGGTTCTTGACTCTGCAGTTGAGGTAGGCCGTCTTGCCCAGCAGGGCCGTCACGTTCTTGGAGTGCGCGCGGTCCACGTAGGGCGCGTGCGGGTCCACCGTGGTGGGCGGCGGCGGCGGCGCGGGCACCGTCGTGGTGCCGGGGGTCGTCATCGGCGACGTGCTCGCCGTGGCGGCGGCCTCGCTGGCGCGCCGGAGGCCGTGGTCGTGGCCGTGGTCGTGGCCGTGGTCGGGCACCGTCACCTGCAGCGGCGGCGCCGCGGTGTTGAGCTGCTGCTGCTTCGTGTTCGGCTCCCGCTGCGCGCACCGCCCTGCAACAGAGAGACAGACTTAGCCACACCGCCGTGCAACCGAGACACAGACTTAGCCACACCGCCCTGCAACCGAGACACAGACTTAGCCACACCGCCGTGCAACCGAGACACAGACTTAGCCACACCGCCCTGCAACAGAGAGACAGACTTAGCCACACCGCCCTGCAACCGAGACACAGACTTAGCCACACCGCAGGCATTTCGGGGGCGTTTGCATGGTGGTGGAGACTGGCGCGTTAAAAGTGCCGCGGATTCACGGTGGCGCGGACCGCGCGGAACGCACCGCCCCTCATTTCGGATCCAGAGACCGGAGGATGTATCGCCGCGGGAACAGCGCTACAGAGCAGAACATTACAGTGGGGCGGCGGCGCGCCAAACTTTCTGCCTGGGCCGGCAAAGTGTTTTGACAAAGTGTTGTTGTTTTTGTTTGCATATTTATTCATTCCCGGCCGTCTTCGCACAGTTTGGCGCAATCACCGTCCTGGCCGGCAGGTGCGTGAATCATGCGAATCACCCTCGCCTCCGGGTCGCCGCCCCCGCCGCCCCATCGGCCCTCGCGGCCCCCGGCACTGCATACCGCCCTGCCAGTGTACCGCCGTGCCGGTGTACCGGTATCGGGGGTAAACTGATACCGCCAACAATGAAAACACACCGCTCCGCTGCTCCGCACAGTGCGGGCCAGAGGACCGGTAGAGGCGGTCCAAACTCGAGACGCGTTTTGAGCTCCAGAGTTGCTAAACAAGGACTCGAGCCAACCGGACCCCACCAATGGATTTCTCGTTCAGAGAGCAATCCAATGGTGGGGTCACACGTTCGGTTCGAGTCCCATTTAGCGACTCTGGAGACGCGTCCGAGATTTTGGCCCAACTGGTCCATTGCGCGCCACTCCGCCGCGTCGCAGCCTAGGCGCTCAGTTTCTTGCTCAGTTTAAGCGAGGCAGCGCCGATCATCCGCTCCGAGCATCACAATCAACAAAAGTGGACCCCCCTCCACCACTCCAGAGAAGGGAGTATCAATCTCTCGCGAGGAGAGGAAAAAGTGTCGCTGTTGTTTGACACCGCCGCCCGCCCGCCGCGGAGCAATGCGAGGCAATGCGAAGCATGCCGCTTGGGAGTCGCACAACCCCGCGGCGAACGCGGGCGTTCCAGTCGGCGGGCAACGAGGAAAACGGGTTGTGTTGTGTTTGCACCGCAAACACTCCACCAAGCATCTGGCAACCACGAAGAAAATGAAGGCCTTGTAGAGTCGCTTCACATTACAAAAGGATTTTGCTATTCAAAATGCGAAGCCTTTCTTCACGGATCTTACAGTGCCTTCGTGCGGTTAGCTTTGAAGCGCCGCTGTTTTTTTTTGTTTTTTTTTTTTTAACCGTGTGCTTACCGACAACGCACTGGAAACGCGTCCGGGGACCCAACTCAGCCACCAAGTTGTCCGCATCGATGAAAATAAACGAAAGTAGAAAATTGACTGTCCTGAAAATAATGACAACGACAACCCCCAACTTTGTGGAAACGGAAAAACTGCCAGGCTGGTGCACGTCCCGGGAGGCGCACGCCGCCACGCCAAGCCCGTCCACTCCCCCCACGGCCCACAGTGGGCCAGAAGACCAGTGGAGGCGGCCAAAACTCGAGACGCGTTTTGAGCTTCGGAGTCCGCTAAACAACAGGCCTCGAACCGAACGTGTGACCCCACCAACGGATTCCTCGTTCGGAGAGCAATCCATTGGTGGGGTCACACGTTCGGTTCGAGTCCCATCGAGTCCTCCTTGTCGACTCTGGAGCTCAAAACGCGTCTAGAGTTTCGGCCGCCCCCACCGGTCTTCTGGCCCACTGTGCGGCCGTCTAAACGCCGCTTAACGGATCGCTGATGAGACCGAAAACTTTGAGTTCCGCCCGGCCGGACCGCGCGGAGAGCCTCATGATGAGATTGACAGTAATTACCAGTTTCGGAGCCACTCGCCCGTGCTCGGACTCGCGGCTGGACAACTTTTCTCACGAGGGCGGAAAACACTTCTTTCCCCCCCCCCATCTCCTCTCTCTCTCTCTCTCTCTCTCTCTCTCTCTCTCTCTCTCTCTCTCTCTCTCTCTCTCTCTCTCTCTCTCTCACACACACACACACACACACACACACACACACACACACACACTCTCTTCACTGGCCGCTGCGCGCGGGGCCGCCGCAGGGCGGTGGGAAAAGAGACCCCGCATAACGGTTGAATAAATTAAATTTGCCGCCTCTGGCGCCGAACCGCGCGGCCGGGCTGCCTACCCCGTCGATCACGGCCCGCTCCTTTTCTAACGAAAACATCAAACACGGCGGAGCGGGCGGGCCCAGTGGGCTGGGCTGGCCGATGGGCTGGCCGCTTGGCCGCCGGGCCACCGAATCGAACACACCCACACCCGCAACGCGGCGCGACGCGCCTAGTGCCGAGCAGTGCGCCGCCAAGGGCTGGCTGGTCGCGCTGGTCGAAAATCTATGCATAATAAATACGGACCGGCAAATTCAAGCTCCGCCGGCGGGCGTAGCGCAGTGGGCCAGAGGACCGGTGGAGGCGGCCAAAACTCTAAAAGCGTTTTGAGCTGCAAAGTCGCTAAACAGGGCTCGAACCGAACGTGTGGCCCCACCAATGGATTCCTCGCACGGAGAGCAGTCCATTGGTGGGGTCACACGTTCGATTCGAGTCCCATTCAGCGACTCTGGAGCTCCAAACGCGCAGAGTTTTGGCCGCCTCCACCGGTCTTCTGGCCCACTGTGCGTAGGCCCGGCGGGGCGGGGCGCCGACTGACTAGGCCAGCACCCGGGCCGCCACTCAAGCGCGCCCGAAGCACGCCCAAAGCCTGCGCCGCTGGCGGAGAGTTTCTGGACTGTGTGTGCCTTCCATTAATACTGCAAATACAAATGACTCACGCCTGCAACTTATTTCGACGCGCGACCAAAGCCGCCCCGACGCGCACGGCACGCACGGCCTTCGGACCGACACCGCCGACACCACTGGCGTGGTGGTTAGTCCGCTCCACGCGCCGCTATCCACGCGCTCATCAATTTCAGGACAATGTCCCTCAATCACGAACGAAACCAAAATTTCAACGAAATAACAATAAAAAATAAAAACCTGTGTGTGTGTGTGTGTGAGTTCAATTGTGGATGTGGTTGTGATTTTGAGTATATAGCCTCCCTAAAAGTCGTCCGAATTTTTTATTTTCACAGTGTGGGCCGGTGATTGCGGTAGGTGATTCCCCCCGGCTTGCCGTGGCATGGTCCGGGGGGGGGGGGGGGGGGCTTTGCTTGTGGCGGGGAGCGGCGCACGCAGTGTAGGCACGCGCGGCCCGGTCGAGCTGGACGGCGTGGACGCAGGGACCCGCCGCACCACCACGCCGGGCGGAGAGAACAGATTACACCTGTTACGGTGTGCCATCTGTGTGCCTGCCGGGCACGGCCAGACAACCCCAGGCAACGCCGGGCAGCACCGGGCCGGTGGCTCGACGCGACACGAAGCCAGATCCGGGGCTGGTCCATGAATATCAATCGAATTATATGGCCTCCCCCTTCCCCCACCACCTTCCAATCCCCCCGCCTCGGCGGCCCATCTGTCTTTGCGTAGCGTGCGTCCCGTACACAAAAGGACGTAACGCACCGCTCCATTTTTCAAAGACCCAAAAGTGCGAGGCGTGCCACACAGTGGACCAGAAGACCGGTGGAGGTGGACAAAACTCTGGACGCGTTTTGAGCTCCAGAGTCGCTAAACAGGACTCGAACCGAACGTGTGACCCCACCAATGGATTCCTCGTTCGAAGAGCAATCCATTGGTGGGGTCACACGATCGGTTCGAGTACCATTCAGCGACTCTGGAGCTCAAAACGCATCCGCCTCCACCGGTCTTCTGGCCCACTGTGCGTGGCGCGGCGTGGGCGGCACACGGTGGCGGCGCCGTTTCGCGGGATTAAATTCAATTTCACGCCCGGCCGGCCAGAGCTACCTGTGTGTGAGTGATTCAGATGAACAACCCGCGAATTGCGGAGCGGATCACATTACCGAGTCGGTGGAGGGGGGAGGGGGAGGGGAAGGGGGAAGTGCACTGAGGAAGTGTCGAAGGGCAGCGCGAGGGTGGGCGTGAAGGGATTCGAAGGGGCGGCTCGGAGAATGGCGAAGGGCAAAGACGAGGGAGGGGGGGGGGGGTAAAGGGGAGGGGGAAATGTGAAGGGAAGGGGGAGGAAAGAGGGAGGGGGAGGGGGTGGCCACGGCGGTGGGAACACGACTCAGCAAGGCACGCCCGGCACGCGGGCACGCCAGGGCGACCGGTGCGGCTTGTGCCGACACACAGTGGGCCAGAAGACCGGGGGGAGGCGGTCAACATTCGAGACGCGTATTGAGCTCCAGAGTCGCTACATGTGACTCGAACTGAACGTGTGACCCCACCAATGGATTGCTCTCCGAACGAGGAATCCATTGGTGTGGTCACACGTTCGGTTGAGTCCTGTTTAGCCACTCAGGAGCTCAAAACGCGTCTAGAGTTTTGGCCGCCTCCACCGGTCTTCTGGCCCACTGTGCGACAGTCCCGCCGACCTAAGGTGTGGTGCGCTGAGATTCCTCGCACAGAGATGACGCGTTGTTTTGTATGTCGCTCGCTTCAACAGCCTCGCGAAGTATTTAGAGAAAATGTCAGAGGTAAAAGCTATTCTTAACAGTTTGCTATAACAATGCCACTCCCATTTTGAAATGCCTAAAATAGTTCGTGAGGTGTAGAGAGTCTGGTCGAAACACTCATTGACAAACATCGACATATTGTCGATGTTTTTTTTTATGCAACACTTCTCACTTTTGTTTGTAGTCTGTGTATTTTTGTTAATACTTCGATGGGTCCTATGAACAAAGACCGATGTCTTTTAGGTCGCTCAAACAAAGACCGATCTCCTTCGGGTCGCTCGAACAAAGACCGATCTCCATTTCGGCCGTTTCTGCATTCGCCGTTTCTTTATATTGTAGTTCTCGCAACAGACATCCAACTCAAACAATAGTTTGAAGGTTTTGTTCCTAATATATTAGAGAATGATCATCTTAAACTCATTTGTGTGAAATCAAAACGTAGAGATTGTTCTGGGACTTCAAAATGAACGCGTTGACAGGTTAGGAAATGGAGATCGGTCTTTGTTCGAGCGACCCAAAGGAGATCGGACTTTGTTCGAGCGACCCAAAGGACATC